AATCACACAGTATTTTCCAGTGTTACAATCGGCATTCCAAATTCAACATGACATTGATATATTTTTTTTGTGTTAAACAAACCCCTTCACTTAAGTACCGAAATATCGTAGTTTTAATAAAAGTTATCATTATTTCTTTAGGAAAAAAAAAATTGATATCATTAAAAAAGCAAAAGTTTTTAAATTACGTAAAGAAAAAATTATCAATTTTTTTTCCTGTTTTTTTGTTTTTACCATTAGAAGTTCAAGTGAAGAGAGAGAAAGAAACAGTATACTTAATACAAAAAGGATTTGAAAAAAAAAAAATAATTTTTTTCATTTTCATTATTGTTAAAGAAAAAAAAATTAATAAAAAAATTAAATTAAAATTTTAAATGAAATCAAAAGTTAATTTTTTTATTAGGACTTTTTCATATTTCGGAACTTCTGTAGAAAATTCGAGTAGGTATACAATTGACATTTGGGCCTACAAAATCATTTACAAATTTTTATACCAGTATTAAGATAACTTAAAGTACCAATCAGAAACTGAAACGTCTTTGAAAAATTCGTATAGAACAGTCTGTAACTACCAATTCTCAGACCGATGGCTTCGACAATATTTGGGGTTTCTATGAAATTTTAACAAGAAGTGTTGTTAAATGATTATGGATAGCAAAAGAAATGTTATGGTTTTTAATAAAACAGTGTAAACCCATGAAAGACAACTTACAAATCTTTTAAATTTCACATAAAACTGAAGAGAGCCCAGATATTTTTAATTGCTATGCAACATGATTCTTTAAAAAATGGGAGTTCTTTTAAAGGTGTATTGCCAGTAGAAAACTACGAATCCAGTATATTGAACAAAGAAAATTTAACAGATCATCATAATAGGTTTTAATGAGGTCAAATAAAAAATATGCAACACTAAAGTAGACCTTAATAGATTGCATTAATACAACGGTTAATAAAATCTAATTTATGTATTACAAACATTTTTTAAGCGAAATTGTTTCTTCCATCATATTCAAAAATGTTGTTATTATAGCCTCTACTGTTCATAACTTGACATCGTCCCTGATTTACTTTAAAACAGGTACATCGAGGAAACGTCTATACATAATTGGTGTGATTTTTCTGGTCTGGACGACAGGAACAAGGTTTGGACGGGGTTTTCGCGGTATAGAAGACCTCACATCCAAAATCATTGAGGAATATCTCCAGTTATTTCCTTGATATATAATATATATTAGTATAACTGGAATAAAGAAGGGGTTTTCTATTTACAAATCTTGACTTGCATTGCAGCCTTCCCGTAGAGGGTTTCTTTCTTTAGAAATCTACAATCTAAAACATTTTAAGTATTTAAAAGAAATCTCAAACAGCCACTCTGACTTGCTTTATGTTGTGGATTACAGTGATAAATTATTCAACATTTAATAATATAAAAGAAATCAAGAGTATATTACATTTCGTAGATATTATTCCGAAACTTTTTCTATTCTAAGATTTTTGCATTCAAAATATAAACCTGGTTAAACTGTAAAGACATTAAAAGGTAAAAAACTAAATTTGCGAAATTCATTTGGCATTTATTTTTCTTTTTTTTTTGTTTTTGCATCTGTTTGACATTACGAAAACAATTACTGTTAATAAATTCCGAAATTTGACATTACATTGACAGTAATACCATTTAATTTATAAGTTAATTTAGTACCTGTCTGTATTTTATCAATAAATTTCGACCATTTTTTTTTCGTTTTTTTTTTTCTTCTCCTTTATTCAATTTTACGCTTCGTCTATTTCGCTCTTTCAAATTACTATTTTTTGATTTTATCGAAATATTTAATTAAAAATAATAAATATAAAATTAAATATAAATTCATTTAATTCTATATTTGCGCGCGATTATTCAATATTAGAGCATAAAAATGTTAAGCGAAACACCAAAAACAAAATGAAAGAAAAACATGAATTTTTTTATGTTAAAGACTGACTGCTCGCGTTTTTTTACCGACCGTATTGTGTAAACAATAGGTAGGTTATGTGATGGCAACAAATTTTGCATATCGAGTTTTCGGTGGGAACGTACTTCTCCATAGTAGGGAAGTGTAAATAAACTATTTTTAGCAACCTGTCGGTCTGTCGGTCTGTCGGTCTGTGTGTGCACGCGTGTATCTCAAGTTCGGCTAAACCGATTTTGATGAAATTTTATATGTAAGTTTGTTTCCACCATGGCACGGATCGATCAACTTTTGGTATATATCAGGCCTCGGGAACTGCACTTTTTAGCGGGCCTGTTTTACATTTTTGAACATTTTGAAGAAAGTATTCAACCGATTTACTTGAAATTTTATATATAAGCTCAGCTCGACCATCCGCAAAAATTCGTATGTTTTGGAAGAAATCAGGCATCGGCAACTAGACGTTTACTACGGGCCAAATATACATTTTTGTGTATATAAAGAGAAATAATTAACCGATTTCATTGAAACTTAATATATGAACTCCTCGTATTAAAACAATGAACATATAAATTTTTTGGAAAGATCAGGGCTCGAAAACGGATTTGCGGGCCGATTTTACATTTTTCATCATTTTGAAGAAAGTATTCAACCGATTTACTTGAAATTTCATATATAAGCTTTACTCGATCATACGCAAAAATTCCTAACTTTTGGAAGAAATCAGGCATCAGCAACTGGGCGTTTACTACGGGCCAAATATACATTTTTGTGTATATAAAGAGAAATAATCAACCGATTTCATTGAAATTTAATATATGAATTCCCCGTATTAAAACAATGAACATGTAAATTTTTTGGAAAGATCAGGCATCGGCAACTAGACGTTTACTACGGGCCAAACATACACTTTTGTGTATATAAAGAGAAATAATCAACCGATTTCATTGAAATTTAATATATGAATTCCTCATATTAAAGCAATGAACATATAAGTTTTTTGGAAAGATCAGGGCTCGAGAACTGATTTGCGGGCCGATTTTACATTTTTCACCATATCCACAGAACAAATTGATGGAATTTCTTGAAATTTGATATTTGAGTTCTGGTTGTTACCGAAACTAACTGGCGAGCATTTCAGGGAATTCGGGTAGCACAAAGAGAAACTCTACCAAGACCCAAATTTACATTTTTCTAAGTATGTTAACTATAAGCTTACTAATGTCCTAAAAATTGGAAAGAAGTATTTAACAGACATTTTTATAATATTATGTAACACTTTCATTTAACTAGACAATACACAATGCGGTCGGTTATGTGCTGACCACATCAGATTTTTTTTTTTTATTTGTTTATTTTTGGCTTTTGTCTCGCGTAGGTTGAAAAAGTGTTAAAAAGTGATTATGGAAAAAAGAAAAAAATTAAAGTAATAATTTTACTATTGAATTTAATTTACCTAAATAAAAAAAAAGAACAAAAATCTTTAATTTTATTTCATAAATTGATTTTTTAATGTTTTAATGTGCAACTTTTTAAATGTATTTAAATTGAGTTGGAGTTGGAAACTATATGAAATATGTACGTTTGATTCGACCACCGTTATAAAGTAATTTTGTAAAATAGTAAGTACTTGAAGAACGAAAATTGAAATAAAATTTGCGTTTTGTAAACTAAATGTTAAATGAGATGTCGGAGCTGAGGCACCATCTTTTAAAGTTTTTCCAAACACAACTTGAAGAATTTTTCAAGTTCTGTTCGAAAATATACCACACGATGATATACGACAGATTTTCAAGTTTACGATTTCTAGATTTGCTAAGACAAGTGTAGTCGGTTTTTCTAATTTTACCACAATGAAAAAGCTATTAATGAGATTTTCGATAAAATGCTGCATGACTATCCATATCCAACAGAAATGAAACGCAAAGCAAGGAAAATGTACGACAAATGATGGAACGCTATTAATTGAAATAATGTGTATTAAGAGGAAACTTTACAAAAGAATCACCTATTGTTAAACTGCAATATTGAGTCTTGATTGAGTCAACTATCGTGATCACTTCAACCCCAAGATTATTTTGAAATGAAAAATATAAGTGTCTTTCTATAAGAAGAACTGGTTTCTACTACAGAAATATTAAGCTGCTATAAAAAATTTTTGATTTTCTACTATAAACAGTTTACAGCTTCCAACGAACATGGAAAAACGTAAATAGAGTAATAATAACTCTCAACAGACATTGCTTTATTTAAACTTCTCAGGCGCTAAAAATAAAAAAAAAACCAAAAAACTGATTGTGTTGAAAGAGAATATTTTTTTTCTGCTTCAATTTCCACCTTTATGAAACTAGAGCACCACATCGAAATAAAAAAAAAATGTATATGCCTTCTACAATAGATTTCGCAATTTTAATATTATTGTATATTTATTTATGTTTTTCCTTTAATTTTCTTATTTTACTTTAATATTCTTCATGTTTCACCTACATTTACCACCTATATATATTCAAATTTAATCAACCTCCAAGGACGACTGATATCGCACATGCAAAGTCAACATTAACTACATAATTAATATGGAAATATAAAAATGGAATATGGTGTAATGAAATTTTTAAATAAAAAACACACGATTCTTCCATCCACATGTACATTTTCCACATAGGGGACTACAATATTGATTAGAATATAAGTAATACATACATATACATATATGAATAAACAATATTCAAATGATATGCAAGAAATATTTTAAGATGCCCTTTTTCTTTTTATAATGTCAAGTCACATATGAATACTTAAATGAATGCAAAACCTAATCAACATTGAAGAATAAATCAACGAGCATTAAACGTACACTATACGATTATAAAAATAGCAATTGAATTATTGATCCTGATGGCGATAATCGTTAAAAAATGAACAAAACATAAAAATTTATTTATTTTTTTTTTTGGTTTGTTTTACCATTCATTTACATTTGAATGCACGCACGTATACCATTATGTAAATATTTATTATAAGGTAAAAATGTTCATATATATACATACATACCTCCAATGTAATCCAGTATCTCGATCTGAAATTTTATAATATTCATAAACGAATGATGTGCTCCCATTGGAATTTTGTACTTGATGAATTTGATGTGGAATACCATTTAATGCTGCTAAACTAACAGCATTACATGAATCTAACGGATCATTATTATTATTTAAGTTAACAGTACCAGATGGATCATCATCTTGATGATGTTGTTGATGCTGTTGACTATGATTTGTTTGTAAATGTTGTTGTATATTTAACATTGATGCTGTTGTTGTTGTTGTATTTGATGTTATTGCACCACTTGATGGTGATGGTAAAGGATGTTCAAAATAACGTGTTGTTATTGTTGTCGGTAAATATTGTGGTGATGATTGTTGCTGTTGTTGCTGTTGTTGTTGATGTAATTGTTGTTGGTGAAGACCAGTTATTTGGCCACCAGCAGTAACATGATTTATAACTTCTGTAGTAATCACATTGTCAGCACTTGTTGATGCTGATGCAATAACCGTAGATATTTGATGTTGTTGTTGTTGATGGTGTTGTTGTTGTTGTTGTTGTTGTTGTGAATTTGTATTTGGTGATTGGCAATTTATTCGACGTCTAAATAATAATTATTTTTTTTGTTTTGATTGTTTCTCCTCTTTTTTTTTGACAATTTATTTTGTAATTTAAATTTTTTTTTATTTTTAAATGTTAATATTGTAAGAATTAAGAAAAAATCATTTGCCTTTTGGATTTTTTTTGTTATTATTTGAATATTTCAAAATGTTTAAATGCGAATTTCATTAATTTTATATACAAAACATTATAAAAGTTTAAGAGTTTCAAGATTTTAAAAATTATGTAATTTTCTTAGTTTCAAAAATTTCTGCATGACTTAAAATTAATAGTTCTCAAAAATATATTGACATTTTGGCTGATTGATATATGCATTAACCTCATTCGAATCTGTGTGTTTTATAAATTTTATAGAATGTAAATGGACAATGGCATTGTGGGTATTTAACATTATGAAGAGAAATAACATTATTCAATAAAAGAACTGACCATATACTTATAACATACCTTATTCAGTTATAAATAAAGCAAAATTCAGTAGTATGATGCAAAAATCACAGAATATAATAATCGAATGTTTAATAATCTTAAGAAACCATATATTTTGATCATTACTACCCGAAATTAAGAATAACAGTAATATTATTAACAGTAAATCGAAAATTTACAGTATTCAAAAATGACAAATCATTATCAGATTCTAGAGCTTAATGAGTACTTTTGGTTTCTTCATACTTATTTTTAATTTAGTTCACACGGTTATAAAATGTGCGCATATGCATATTGCAGGATGATAATTTCTTGTCATCATAAAAATCTTACAAAAGCAGGAAAAAGGTTTGTTTAAACGTTTCATTTGTTAATTTTTTTTTTAATGTAATTTTGTAGTGTTTTACAATTTCCCTTTTAAATAAATATTAAGTATTATTTTTTGCATAATTTTTATTTTTTCTTTTCTAATTTATGTTCATATAAGAAGTGTAACAGTTAAAAAGGGAAAAGAAAGGATATTTTGTATGGCATTTTTTGTTTTTTGTTGCTTTCTACTCCTAACTATTCTTCTTTTGCTTCTCATTTTTTTCATTCAAGTATTATCGTTTATTGTATCGTAATAATTATTATTATTTCAACAGTAGATAACAAGGAAAGGGGAAGTGCACTCAATACACGTCGACTCATCAGAAAATAAAAAACGTAATGTACAATACAATGACAAGAACGTATAAAAAACATTTTACCTTTCCTAAGGTGTAAGCTGTTGATATTATTCACAAAAAAAAAAAAATTATTACAAAAAAACAAAAAGCCTTACTATATTGTAAGATCGCAATAAACCGAATTAAACAAAAACTAAATGAAAAAAAAAATTGCTTTTTTAGTGTAAAACAAAAAAAGTTTTCAATGAAATTTTTAATTTTTAGGGTGAAATATGATCCGATTTCCGAATAAATTCATAAATATTATTCTTTTACATATTACTCGAATACAAGACAGTTCGATACAATTTAGTTCAATTTTATATATGAAGAGAATCAAGGAGAACAAGACAAAAAAATGAAGAGAATTTTAAAAATTTGCTTATGAACAGTTTTTCGTATATAGCATGTTATTGAAACGTACAACAGTTTTTGAACCAGGAAATGCTAAAAAACAGTATAAACTACAACAAATAACTCTGTACGAACAAAATTATTAAATTTGACGATTATGAACGAAACAAAGATTTTAAATGAAGAATATGAAATCCTTTTTCTTCTTCAGCTCTTCTTTTTTGCTTATTAATTATTCGTGTATATTTTGTCAATTTCAACCCCAAAGAAATGTAAATAAATCTTTAATTTTTTTAACAAGTTATTATTCTTGTCAAAAAATATACACCAATTTTTTTTTTTTTTTGCTTTTAAAAACAACTTCTTAAACATATAAGGACTTTATAAGCTGAAGAAACAAACATTTTTATATAAATATTTTGTCTCAAGTTTAATCACCTGGAAGAAATTATTTAATTAGAAAAAAAAAAAAGAAGTATTGTTATGATTCTTAAAGAATTTTGTAGGGCTTTTCTCCATTTTTTTTTCATTTCTTACATATTTTATAAAAATTCAAAATAAACGCAATTATACAGCTCTTTAATTTCTGTAAAAAAATTTTAGTAATTATTTTAAGCCCATAATTTCAATTGTAAAAATTAGTTTAAAGTAAAATTGGAAAATGTTTACTATTGGCACTTCTATGCGAATATTTCCGAGTTGAGAATCGCAAGTGAAATACATGAGTACGGCATGTATTTATATAGTTAAACAATTTTGAATTAGATAGCGTATCCTTATTTAATTTGGACAAGCATTCCAAATAATTGAATTAGAACTAATAACAATGTCAATTTCATTGTACAGTAACTTATCATATACATATATTCTTTAAATATTTTTAATTAAACATATCAAGAATTTAATGCCCAATGCAACTATAATCTTCATCAGAAGTTGATGCGCTTGAATATTCATGGCCATTATGTTACACTGTTTGATGGCAATTTAATAATTAAAAAAATAAATTTTTGTTTCTAAACAATTTTTTACAATTTTAAGGAAATATTTTTGATACTTACAAGTCGAATTCAAATTAGTTGTCATTATAATACATTATAATGCATTCTAATGAAAACTCTTCAAGATAGAAATGTGATAGAATAAAATTGAAGGAAATATGTAAGTTATTAATAATTTTTCGACAGAAGAGAAAAATATACCACGTAAAAAATTTACCGGAGAATGTTATTTTGCAAAGATTTATTGTTTCAATTCAATCATTACCGAAAAGGACAGTTATTTAAGTTATAATTATTTAACTATGCTCTATTTCAATATAAGCTACGTACATCTGTATGTATAAATGTACGAAATCGTTCATGTAAATTGCAAAATTTCTTGTTGTATTGAAAAAATTTTTATGTACATTCGTCCGTACTTAAACATATACTCACAATTCTTTTGCATTTGTAATTCATAAATCAAAAACATGAAATTAATGCTATCACATTATTAACACGGTCTTCCAAAAAAGAAGCACAAAAAAACAACAAACATGAAATATGTTTGAAAACCTAGTTTTGTATACATATGCATGTATATGTATACATGCACATGTGTCAGAGATATTTCGAAAAAAAAGAAGCAAAAATATCATATAAAAATTATTTGTTAATTTTTTTGAATTTCCTGACTATAATAACCTTTAAATGTCTCTACTAACTACCTGTCCCAAACGAACAAAAAAAATCAATTTTTCAAAAATAACAGTAATTTTCTATTTATAAAAACGCTTAATTCAAGTAGCAAAATTTTTTTTTTGGTATACTTAAATGTAGGTAATTTCTTATTTCAAATCAAAATTCGAATATCAATATTTTTTTTTATTAACAATAACTTAAAATTTAAAAACAAGTTTATTTTATAATAAGAATATTTTTTTTCGTGTTCATAATTTCAAAACTGTATTTCAATTTTTTTTTTGCTCCAGGGAAGCCGCTAATAACCAAATCATATAGTCATCATATTGTCAAACACTTATTAATTGTCAGATTTACCAAAAAACAAAAAAAAATAGAGAACAACAACGAAGAAAAATCAAATAAAATTCAAGAAAAAATTCCTGTTTTTCCACTTTCTAATTTACACCTGACAATTTATTTTAAAATTTTGTTTATAGGTATAAAAGCCATTTTTTTTTTTATATAAAAATTTCTAGTTATTACCAAATTAAGAAATTACTTAATGAATATTCAAATAACAAAAATTACTTCTTCCGGTCTTAAAATATAACTAAAATGATTGGCGAACGTGAACAAGAAAAAAAAAAACATAATATTTTTGTCGAAGGAAAGAGCATTCGTTATTAGTTTTGACAGAATGCGTTGTCACATTTTAATGTTACCAATATCATTACATATTTTAAGTCTGAGTTGTGAATGGAGTTTAGAATACTAGATCAAGCTCATGCTTTTAATATTCGCGCATGCTCGGATTATCCTTAAACCGATGACCTTTCTAAAAAAGAATGCTCAAAATGTTTGATATCTTTGAATGGAATCCTGTACGTACATACAAATATTTCCTTATTGATTTAAATAAAATAATAAGCATTGATTTATTGTCTGTTCCTTGCTCAATTGGCCCGGCATTAAGAAGCATATTCGATCACCATTAAGCACTTTATTTATTAAAGTTTAGTTCTATTCTTGAGACACATTGTAAAAAACGCTATCACTGAACAACAAAGCAGACATATTTCATTATTTTTAGTGTATTCTTATTTAAAACCGCTCTTTATTTATTTTACCAATAATATTTAGTAATTCATTAGATTTGATTGTCGTAAATAACAATGTTGTTAATTAACAGAAATGCAAAATTTTATCGTATATAAAATACTTTCCAAATTTTCTAAAGGTAATTAAAGCTAATGAAATTTTGCCTATATATTATATAGATATTGATTTTTACTTAAATAGTTATAATTTTATAACAAAAAATCGTATTCAACTATTAAGTAGTTTAAATGTCTACAATGCTGCCGGGCATTTACAATTTCAAGTACATTACAATAACCAAATGGGTAGTATCAAATAATTTTTCGCAATACAACACTTAGTGATCTTATGTGTACATATGTATTTGGTAAGTGAACAATCTATATGTATGTCATATATCTGTACTTAAATGTGTTAATATGTAGACCACCAGGACTCTTGTTTGTACATACATAAATCTACAGTACACAACAAATTCCAAAAAATTCGTTTCAATAAAAAAAATAGACATAGTGCTTTGGAGTACAGTTGCTACATATATTAACAGTTTCGTTCGGAACGAAATGAGAATATATTTTTTTTTGTTATACAGCAACAATGTTATACATGTATCCGATTATGTAATTTGAAAATCAATTTTTTAAGTAATTAATAATTAAATAAATAATTCCCATATTATTACAAACTATTTTTCTTAGGTAACTCTTAAAACAATAATAACTTCACATAG